ACATATGAGAACCGAAAGCGATCGATGATTAGAACCATGGACCCGCACTCTGATGAGGCGGCAAGCGTGGCGCTGATTCTCGTCCGCATGAGGACTATGCCGCTTCCTGAATTCGACATCGACCACTTCTTCGAAATCGGAAAAGAACCAGAACAGGGAACAGGAGCCACTGGCGAGCCCGAGGCCGAAGGTGTCGATATGGAGACTGAATGTGTACAGGAGAAGGAGGAGCAAGATGTTGACATGTCCGACCCGAAGGCATCAATACTGCACGCCATCGACGAATTTGAGAAGAAGATCGGGCGGGCAGAATTCTGCATCCACTGCATGGAGTCGGGACACACAACTCTCAATTGCGAGAAGACCCTTTCATCCTCACCTACAGTCACCTCGGTGTTGAGTGATTGGAAGAAGAGAGTGAAGGGAGAGGTTGCACCCGACGATGTACCATCAGGACATCCAACCGAACAGCCTAAGAAGAAGAAGCAGAGAGCGTCGCCCACTCCAGATAGAAAGGTCGACAGCGAGTTCAGGCGCAAAGAAATGTTAAAAGCAAGAGTCGTGACAATGTTCGACCATGACGGATTCACCTTGATCGAAAGTGCTGATGGAGTCGAAGGAGGACCACATTCCTACAATGGGCGGAAGCTTGTGGAAGCAGGCCCTAAGGATATGAAAGAGGTGTATGAATTTGTCGAGAAGGCATTTGTGCACTCCAGTTCCCTCACACCAAAGGCATGTCATCACTTCTATCCCCTACCAACACGGAGGGAGAAGGGATACAAGCCGATCGACCCCATGACGATGGTCGGGAAAGTTGAACTAGTACCGATCAACGGAGTCACTTTCGCTGCAAAGAACTCCGACTACGGCAACCACAAGTATCCGACTCCAGACTGTCGAGTACGTGAATACAGCCAAACGAGCCAGGCCCTGAGTCGTCGATTGGGAGCGAAGTTGAGACATCGAATTGGACGCCAGTTCAGGACAGGAGGAAGACTCGCACCAATCAAATGCGATGAAGGCGCATGGGTGTCATGGGAAGACCTGTTAGGTGATAATGCAGTTTGGGAAGACGGTTATCACTACGGCAACATAGATATCGTGACCAAGAAGGCGCGTTTGGAGAAGTACTTCGACCAAAACTATGAGTGTTTCCGCATGACCAAGAGGGTCAGATTCCAAATGTTAGCGGTCCGTGTTCACCCTGATGAACTCAATGAGCCTGATGACCCGATGGAGAAGGGATGGATTAACGAACTCAAGGACATGGGAATCTCTAAAGGAAGACTCCACCATAGCGATGGATGGTGCTTTCCCGTGGCTGTAAGAGCAACCTCGGCACACTCAATAGACGGCGGAGGTTATGACGTTACCATTGACATCGACCACATTGGGTCGAGAATGACCAACGACATGGCCCTATCTATGGTGACTGCATTTCACGCTACCAATCTCGGGGCGCTGACTTCAATCATTCGACGAGGGCTAGTGCCGGGAGGTCTCGGTTCATCGGGAAGGGATTCTATCCACTTCACATGTTTTCCGCCATGGGCCTGGGAGCAGGGCTACAAGGGTAAACCTTGGCTGGGTCGTAAGGTCGCAATGAGGGATCGCCCAGTGGTTCTCTACATTCCGGTGTGGAAGCTGCAGGAGTACGGACTTCTCATCTCAGCGACTGGGTCTCTATTGGTTGAGAATGTCGTTCCCTTCGATGAGGTTAAAGGGGCATGGTTGCAATGCAACAATGCGGAACCCGGACAGCCTGAGAAGATCGAATGGATCCGGTTACTCAGTGGGGAACCCGACCCTGGAAGCTACCTTGTTCTAGAGTCCAAATACGGAAACCCGATCATGATTCCACGCTTTCAAAAGCTTGAGAGCTTAGCGGTTGAGGTTCAGGACGATACCTACTCCGAGGACGACGCCAAAATCTTAAAGCTGTTGGGTATGATCGAGGAGAGTGGTGTTTACCCAGAGTATGATAACACCGAGTGGCAGGAACTCTTCGAGGAGATCGTGTACCGCCGAGCGATGAAAGACTATGATTCAAGGCCGTGTCCTAACTGTCTTGGCGAAGTCGATGTGCGATTGACGATATGTCCGCACTGCGTAGCGGTTTTGATCGTGAATGCGAAGCTCACACATGTGATACCCAAGGAGACAAGGGACCGCAATCAACGATCACCTCCGAAAGATGTCCCAGCCAGTTCTTCCGGTGAAACAACCTCTGCTGCAGGTGCAAACATCGATGAAGTCATCAAGAACGCACGCAAGACAGCCGAAGAGGTCATTGAGATCGAGGAATCCGAAGGAGAGGAAGAGGAGGAAGTTCCTATCATTTTGAAGGAACGACCGGACGAAGCTGAAGGCGAACCCGAGTATCGGGAGGTCCCTCAAGATGGATACGGGAATGAACTTCCGAAGCCTTTCCCCTTCGCAATTGACGAACTGCCGCAAGAAGCTGCGATCCCCATCGACCACAACTTTGCCGTCACACAGCAATTTGATCTGAGGTTGATGAAGTTGATCAAGGGCTTGGCCAACGCAACGTTCGACATCAACTGCTTTGAGAGTCGTGAAGATGTACTGCGAATGTTCGACGATGGACAGCGGCATGACACTCCGCACAATAGATGGCCAATAGTACCGAAAGATCCGGATACTGGGTTTCCAAGACGTCTCAAGAGAGCCGAGGTCGTAGGCATGAGCAGATGGACCGACGACGTGTTTGCAGCAGAAGCGTGGCAGATCTATGAATTCCACGCCAACGTTGTTCATCCGATGATGATCACTGCAATCCGCTGCGGGCTTAGCCACAAGTACCTCAAAGAGGTCGGCAACACTCAGCGTAGCATGAGTGATCCAAAGGCTCGAAAGTCTGAGACCCAGGATGAGATCATCGAGAAATTGGCATTCATCTCAAACTTCATCAGACGCATGATCAAGAAGACCTTCGGAGCGAGCCAATATAGTTACTACCAGAAACCAGATAACGAAGGTGCCGCTCCATACAAATTCATCGACATTAGTCCCGCCATCAAATCGGAGAGGAAGAATGTCACGAAGGAGATCCTCGTTGCATGCCGCTACTATGGCATAGAGGTATCCGATATCCAAGCAAAGAAATTGAAGTCCTTCGAGGAGCAGATCCGAGCGGGAAATCCAAGGAACGTTGAGCTCATCAAGGACTACATTGGCTTTGTCGGCGCTGACTACATGCGACAACTCACGAATGGTTGAGCATTGGGGTCATACCGACATGCCACTTCCGGTACTTCAAGTACTGAGGGATCTCGGGTAATTCATGATGACCGTTTTGGCATCATGGGAGTGAGATAGGATTGTGTCTCACACCGTTGGTAATCGCATGATACCATAGGTAGGTGCACGTTTTCCGCTTGTAGCTCCATTGCCTGTTTGATCCAACTTTCAAGCGAATGCAAGATCTTTTGCTAATTCAATTCAATAGGACATACTGGCTGACCTCCAATACACTTTTGAGAACGTGATTCGTTCTCCGGTTTTTACATCCACTCATCTCCCTTCCCCGTCGAAGTACGGATGTGGGGGGTGTCAATAGGGATGGGGTCCCAGTATAGTCGCTATACAGGTACATGCCATATACTTTTGGCTCAAGTGCCCAACCAGGTAAAAAGGAGCTTTAGCGCGCGAGCTTCATGTTGACCTAAGAGCTAGAACGGGGCCAGGGCACACCTTTCCATCCGTTCACAGTTCTTTTGGCATACCTTTCAACCGAGTTTTCAGTGCCTACTGACCGCGGCTCGATCGGCTCGTGTGGTCGACCGCTACAGATGTTTGTGTGGGATCTCCGGCTGACGTCTCCAGCGTCCAGGGGCTTCCACTGAGGATGCCTGAAGACCACATCAAGCTGAGTGAAGCTTTGGGCTCCTTAGAAACTCGGCCGAAGCCATTGCACGCTACGCTGCACGCATCCATCGATCATTTTTGCTGACCGTTTTTGCTGGCCGCTGAGCAGACAGATGCAGCACCCTTCAGAAAACATCGGGGGAAGTTACGTATACATGTGTACCAGACAGGATGCAACTAGGGCCAGGGCAGTCCTGAAGCCACAGGAACAACAGGAGTCCTGCAAGCCTCCAGCCGGTGGGACCAGCCTACAACCTGAGGAAAGACTTGTCCACGGAAGGTCCATGGCAAGACCACGGGCCACCATCCTCATCATCCAGAATTCATGTTGACCTAGTTTAGAATATTTTAGAATGAATATGCACAAATCATACCAGGGCCCCCCTAAGGGGTGGTTAATGATAGCTGCCTAGAGGTTGCCGGGATGTCCATGAACCACCCCTTCAGGAGGCCCTGGTAGTTTTCGACACCCTTAGCACAATTCCTTAGCCACTTCTTCTGAGTGACGGCCCTTTTGTTCGTCCGCACCTCTATCTCATGTCTCCCGTGTTGGTGGGACGACCGCCAGGGGGACCGGGCGGTCAAGCCCCGGGTTCGTCGCTTGTAGCCGGTAGGGTCACCGGGGCGAGGAGCACATCCTGCACCGACCTCATCCCAAAGCGCCGGACCCCCGGCTGCTGCGTGTGGCCAACGACGACCGCGAGGGATTCATGTCGGTGGGGACCAGTGGTTGGCACGTGGATGGAGTCCCTCGCAAGCAGCCGCCGGGGAGGTTTTGTTGTGATGTTTTGGGGGAACGAATGGACATTTAGATCTCCAGTGTAAGATGGCTCACGGTGAGCATGGAGATGTCAGGAATGTCTCCAGTCAATTCAAGATTCATCATTTCTATGTCAGTAATTTTCCAAGTCACTTACGCTGATGATGGAGTTTGTTCGGCCAAAATGCTTGTTCCAAAGGACGTTGACGGCAGGGCAGCAGATCAGTCCCAACAAAGAGAAATATTGAAAAATAAAACACATTCGCGTATATACACTGTTAAGATATATTTTTATTACTTGCTAAATCGAACATACATACTTATTCCATATATACCGACATGCTGGAGGAAAAAACTTCACATGATCTACGAAGAGATACTCAGCTGACACGACTAGACTATAAGCTTGTTTCGCGATTCTTCCTGAAGGGATTGCGATCGAACCGAACTGACTGGCTCCGCCAAAGACACTTGGCTGGCAGCGCGCCAAAGACACCTCACGCGACGCGGCTCTGAACAGCCCCACCCGCGCGCGCGCGCGCTGTTCACGGATGTGGCAGGTGATGTTGCAGGCACCTTTTGCCGCGCAGACCATGCATCATTTACATGCGATCCCCGGTGGTGATACTCTCTTCCTGGGCATGAAAGAGCTGCAGCTTGAGTTGAGTTTCATGGGTGGGTGGAGACTCCTGGAGATAGCGGATGCTGTGCTGGAGGAACGCAGGTGTCCATGTTTGGGTGCTGCTATTTGCATCTATTTGCTGCTGTTCTTTTTCAAGCCAGGAATCTGGGAAGAAGAACAACATTCATTCTCCAGGAGTAGAGAAATCGGAGCTTTAATGAGCTTTATGTTTCGTGCGTTTGGGTATATATCATATTGTATAAGCGTTTATTATAGCCGCTCCCTCAAATATTTCTGAGTGGCTCCCACATGGTCCTTACCCAAGGAGCCATTGTTTATGTTTGGGGAAGTGGCGTCCGGTTAAACCATGGTCCTGTGTCGGTCCGGTTCTTGAAGCCTCAAGTGGTCTCACTGCTCGAGGTATCACTCGATGGATGAAGACTTGAGAGAGCTTTGTGATCGCCTATGGTTTGTGTCAGGCATCTCGGAGACCGTCGTTGATGGCGCGGGGCCCGGAACCACATGTTTGTTCTTTTTTGTTGTGTGTGTGTGTCTTGAGGGGCCAGCCCCCACGAAGAAGAAACACAAACATCCACAAAAACCGTGTGGTTGGAGTCCCGGTTGGAGGTGTTTATGTCAATGCATTTTGGTTTTGAGCCCCACCATCCTGCAGTCCGGTGTTTTCTTTCGAACAAGAGGCTTATGGGTTCAGGATTCTGCGGCACAATATAAATCCACCTGTTTGTGTCCACCGTTTTCTCAAGTTTGATGTTGTTCCAAGCTCGCTTCCTCCCTCGGGCTCCCCACACAGACAGTGTGGGAGCCACTCACTGATGGCTATCCTCTAGTTGATTTGGATCCAACCGACCAGCCGCACCAAATCTCAGGAGTTGGAGATGATCTTCAGCAAGGGGAAGGCCAGATGTCCCTGCTCCCGCTGGTCTATGATCACCCCTTCCGCGGCGACAAGACCATGTGCTTTCACCTGGGTCAGACCTACTGTTTGGGCTTCATCGAAGAGGCGGCAGGGACTGTGAGATCTTCTGACCAAAACTGTTGCCTCAAAGTGAGGACTTCCGCAACCCACTAGGCTGATCAGTATTCTAAGGATTACGTGTAGAATGGTAGTGCAAGGGCTCACACATGATCCAAGATTGCCCTTCTAACTCTTGGGCTTGATCATCTCACTTGAAATCCACAGACCCAGCTCCTCAAATCCTGCTTGCACGCAAACAGTGCGCCTGCCCATTTGTATGCCATACGTGGCATTTTCGTGAGACTTCCATGAGGTGCCATTGGATGTGGTGATGGAGATGTTTGCCAACGTGATGACACGTGGGGATGGCCTCTTGAAAGGGGCCCGAGCGCAGCTCCAAAGGATCTTGGCGGGGCCTGAGAACAACTGTCCCTCCCAGTGCCTGGGCGAAGAACAAGGAGTGAAGCCAGGGAGGCGGGCCGGATAAAACAAACAAACTACATAACAAACTCTGCTTGGGGCAGAAGGGCATGTGCCCAGGCACCGGCCTGTTTGGGACTGGCGTATTGACCTACATTGACCCCTGACATCAACCACCCCAATGTAGGTAAATATGCCAGTCCCATGGAGTGTTTGGGGTGTATCACTCTTTACTCACAAATTCGTCAGGCTATCTATAAGTTCACAGCACTGTACCAGCTGCCAGGCGCCATGAGGACTGCTGAGTCGTCCCCTCCACAGTGATGTCCTGAGGTTCCGCTTTCTGCCGGCGCTGCCGGTGCAGGAATCCCTGCAGAAGGCCATTGATGGGATGGACCCCACATTGCGCGCGCAGGCCATCACAAAGGTTGATGCTTGGAATTGATGTGGATGTGCCAGAATTTGTTTCAGGGAACATTTGGAGGAAACCCATAGTTGTTGGATGAACACAATGGTTTCCTGTAGATGTTCCATTAAACCAGTTTTGGGATCACGGCTTACAACCAATTCACAAGAGAAAGGTGAGGTGGACATCCGGAGGTCATGTCCGCCTGGAGAATCGGGAGAATACCCTCTAATTACTTCTTTACAAAGCAGCCAGTTTGGGGTTTATACATTGAACACATCCATTGATGAAGGGCTTCCTGGCTGCAGGAATGGGAGCGAGGGGACTTGGCCTTGATCGACAACATGGCACTTGCTGCTGGGCTGCCGGAGTTCAACTGGTTTTTTACATCCCACAGGCCATGAACAGCGGGTGGTGTAGAGTGACATAAAAGAGCCATCTAGGTGGTGGTACAAGGAGCCAAAATTGGAAAGACATGGTATATGATATACGGATATACTGATATACTGTATATACCTGGAGTCTCAAAGTACTTCAGAAAATGAGTACAAGTACCTGTTTTCATAGGGTCATGTCCCATTTTCTAAAGTACTTTGGAGGGTCCAGGTACGCATATGTTCATCTCAGCAGGTGGTGTTGAAGGTCGTAGACTAGTTTTGAAGGTCGTAGACCTTCAACAATGCCGGTGGCCCGGATAAGTTTATTTCCTATTTAAAGGTCTAGCACACTTGATATATTTAAAGTTCATCAGGGTTGTCCCAGTTGGTTGGTACACTCGGGAAGAGTTCGGAAGTCCTTTACAACCCCAGCGGTGGACCGCTATCAGTGGATTGTTTGAGGCTCATTTGCCTGCGCCGGGGACGCAGACTCTACCCTTAGTGACTTGGAAAACAGAAGAATTTGAACTGTTCCATGTGGCACTTGCCCCCGCCCCCAAAAAAGGTCCAGAGCATATGAAATGATGTTTTGCAGGATGTGCCACTAGAGCCTCCAGAATGCAACAATCACTCACAGAAAAAGCCGTGTCATGTCTTTGCGCTTGCGAGTCTTCCACCTCAGGTAAGTGGCTTGCGAGTCTTCCACCGCACCACCATGACCAACCCATCTGCGGTGCCGCGGAATCTGCGCGGTGCCAGCGCGGTACTGCTGGCGGGACCACGAAAGGATGGGCCAACTTCAGATGAGGCGGTGCAGGAGCGGGTGCGAAACTGGTGAGATATGGTGAGAATGGGTGGGGAGGTCTAGGAAGTGAACTTCTACAGGTGGCCCCTGCAGGATGATACTGCCCTTACGGCAGCTGAACCGGCAGTTTGGTTGCCAGATAGCCCAGGATTGATTCTGTGAGGGGACTTGATTGGTCTAAAGACGAGAGGTCCAAACCGTAGGGTGTTCAGTCAGGAGTTGAACCCATGGAAGTCGTTTTAGTCATGGTAGACCTTTGACTTCAACTGTTTAAACCTTTTCTCAAGTAGATTGGCAACCCTCTTTGAAACAATCACGGAAGCCGCAAATAGCCAATGATTGGAAAACAACATCGTCATGGCGTGTTCCGCCGACGGTGAGTGTTTGAGGAAGCCATACTGTAGCAGGTTTCACGTGGTCCTACCACTAGTTTTTCTCAGAAAATTTGTAAATTTGTACGAATTACCAACTATTGATCGCTCAAATGTGATTTTTTGGCGTGACCTTGCGTCCTGACTGTCATGGCTGGACGGATGGGCCACATCCTCCGCAGGATCCAGATGCCATGCGGGACATCCTCCGCGCAGTGATGGCGGCCACGCCCATCAACGTTGACGAGCTGGGAGGTGGGGGTGGTGTTGCTGGGGCGGGAGGTCATAGAAGTCCCTGAGTCATGCTTGTGACGCCGCTGAGTCGTTGTAGATTCTAAGGAGGTGACACTGCTGTGAAATTCTCATAACCACGATCATGCAAATCGGACGTCCTGCAAGGCAACGTACACACCTCTAAGACCATCTTCGGAGTGTATGTACCTGGACCCTACGGGACTGACCTTCTACTGACCCTCTGAAGGGTTCAGAGGGGGCAGAGTCCATGAAGCATTCCAAAGTCCCTCCTTCATCAACTGTGCAAGCTGTGTTTGCCCAGAGGCCTTCCAGTTCAGGCAAACGGCCATCACCGGGATGTTGAACCGCAGATTTCCAGTTGGTTCCTATGCAGTTGACGACAGCAACAACATCAACAGCCTCCCCAAAGCCAACAAGGGTCCTCCTTCCACCATTGGGATGCCAACATCTAATGAAGGCCTAGCCGGTTCTTTTGACGTTACCACCCGAAAGCATGTTCCTTGGTGGCACCCGACTCCTCCAGACCCCAGGCGACCAGCGTGGGGGGGACCTGCAGATGCCCAAGAACATCCCCGCGCGCGACGAAGCCTTGAGGGCCTTGGAGGAAACTCAGCAGCCGTGGCTTGGATGCAGAAAGAGGAGTTCGTGACGAGCAGTTGGTGATCTTGAATGAACTGATACAACCGCTGCTTGAGCCGTTCTTTTTTTCTGATCACTCAATAGCTGTCCATGACACATGGAGGACTTGAAGCTGCTCAAAAAAGCTTGGGTGGACGTCCTAACTCCAGAATTTCTATGGCTTTCTTCAGTTTGATCCATCCCTCATGGCCTGCAGCAAAGAAACACCACACATAATATACGTAGAACTTGGGTTTGTCCTATTATCTGCAACAGTGGCTGCAACAGTCAGTAAAACACACACACAAAAACATTATCCACTGTTGCTGGCACTCGTAATATGATAGGAAGTAAGCAACATAAGCATGCCGGCAGCTTCTTTTCGTTTGTCGGCATCCAGCATTTGCAGAAGCTGCTTAAACCTGTTTCTACCGAAATATGTTGGCTTGATTGATCATTTGCATCATTTGCATACTTGTGTTGGCTCTGGTGCATGTCAGCTCATCATCCAGGTTGGATTTGCTGAAGGTCGTGGATGCTGAACTGGAGGCCTTTTGCCGGCCCGGGTTTTGGATAGTGACTAGTTGCCTTCCCATTGGGAGCCTGGCGCTTTTGTGGCCTGTCCCTTACCCTCCCTGCAACACACATGGAAGTGGACAACCCCCTGTTTGTAGAGGAGAATGAATGGTCTTTGCAGGGGCCATTGTCCACTTCCATGATTGTTGGAGAGAGGGTAGTTGATCTGGGTGGCCCAAGGCCGCAGTATGGCTTTAGGGCCCAAGATGCCCTTTTGCGGGTGGCTTCAATTCCAGATGAACTCCAAGCTGCTGCAATCTCCCGGGACTTCGGTGGGCTTCTGAGTTTAGCGGTTCTTGCTGGACTGAGAACCTCCAAACACTTTTCTTGGTTAAAAACAGAAACTCCTAATCTGTTGACTTAAATAAAAACAACCTCCCTCACCCCTTCATCCATCTCCGATTGAATGCCTCCACCGTGGCCTGGATTGATCTACCAAGCCTCGCGAACTCGCGAACTCGTTCACCTCGCGAGGCGGCCGATGGGCAGAGCCGTGAGATTTTTGGAAAGACCTTGAAGAAGTTGCTGCGAGAGTACCACCCAGATCGATGCCTGGAAGATGAGAACTACAACGTCATAAATATATGTGCCCATATGGGCCCTTCTGGATATATTATACATAGTAGTTTAACAAGTGTTTTGTTCGCTTTCTGAGTCTTTCGGACGTTTTTGGGGCTGTAGCTGCGCTTCAGTTCTTGAGCTCGCTGAGGAAACCAAAGCCGCACGAAGCAAGCGGTTCCGATCTTCCGGTATCTCTGGCGGCTGCACAAGGAACGGGGACGAACACACCCATGGGATCATACGAACGTCGATAGATGACAGGAACGACCACCAGATGTCATGTGTTTTGAAGGTCTTTTTGTCCTGTGTTTGAAGGTCTTTGGGAAGCTTGGTCGGCCCAAGCCATCATGGCAGCTTGCAGGTGGCAATTGGGAGGTTTCCTCAGCGGGCCACACGGATGGGGTCGGTCATGGGGTCGGTCGGAGTTCAGTCTGGGTGAAGCGTGGGCAAGAGGATCCACATGTGGGCATGTCGCGGGGATTTCGAAGTGTTTCTTTGAAGAGAAGAAGAAACCATATCTCACAATAGCTCATTGCTTTAAACACTTAACCTGTATATAAGTCTACAGAGCTGAAACCATTGCTTTCAACATCGGCCGGCAGCACTTCTAAACCGTTCCTCCAGGAGCAAGGAAGAGCTGCGAGTGCCATGGCGCCCACCAAGGGCCGCGTGGTGGATCGCTTGCGCCAGAAGGCTTCGAAGATCACCGTGGGCGACGTCGTGGGCTGAAGTGAGGCGACGTCGACGGCGACGTCCTGCGACGTCCTGCGGCGTCCTGCGATGCCTCGGACGGTGCAGAGTCGACGGCGATGGCAGACAGGTCGACGTGGATGTGAACCTATATATAGCATCACAGGTCACAGGCTTTTGTCAAATTGAGACGTGTGAAAACTTTGTGGAGATATGTGATTCTGGAGACGCATGGGTTGTTTGCCTTTTTCAATGAATTGACACCTGTTGGTCACACATGACCGGAGTTTCGGGTTGTTGTTACAGTTTTAACTCAATCAGGTACATCAACATGATCCAAAGAGCCATTCCCCGAGGTCTTTGGATCTCAAGCCGGGTTCGTGAGTGGATTCTGGTTCTGTGTCCTATCAGTGGATCGTTTGCCTTCCGAAATAACTCAGGTGGATAGATGGGGGATGGATGGTCTTTGGCACTTGTTTGTACTGACAGGTGGAAAATAGAGATGTTTGATATGCAATCCCATGGGCCATGGGTGTCAGGAGATCCCTCTAGGTCGTGTAGGGAGTCCAGCTAGGACACTCAAGGGACGTGGAGCTTGTCCGAGTCGGCCGGAGCTACCAGTTCATCGCCTGGAGCCACCAGTCAGCCGGAGCGCTCCATCGATGCTTTTTTGGGGGGGTGGACCACGGGAAGGTAACTCACATAGACCAACCTGCACACTCAAGCGAAAAATTCTCGGAAGATTTGTTGATGTGTGATTGAAGGTTGGGTGAAGATGGGGGTCTTCCCTCATAGATGCACTCCTGAAATCATCATGCTTAAAAATCATGGAGTTCACCCTTCACCAGTTTGGTCTTCGGATTTCATGTTGTGGGCCATAGCAGCCCACGTTGGCCCATGGATGATTTCAGGGATTGTATCGGTTGGCAATCGGATGGACCGGACCCTCATGTTCCAGACCTTGATCCTTCTCGTGTCCTTCTCCCAGCGTCTCAGCGTGGGGCGCTTGCCAAGCGCGTTTCACCGCAAAACCCGTGCGTTTCCGGTGGGAGCCAAAAGCCGGTGCCGTTTAGAGAGTCTGCCGTTGAACTCGTTTTTTTGGGGGGGGAACAGGTTTTGGAGGATCAGGATCTAACTTTGGTGGCCCACCGAATTGCTCAATTGTACACACTTGGTCACTTGTTCGTCGTTCTGAGTTCTGGGGCCTCCAGCGTGCCAAGTTTCTTGGATGTACCTCTTCCATCCTTTCATCCCTCCATTGGATGTACCTCTTCCATCACTTTCCTTGGTGGTAAACATTTTCCATCCTTTATCACTTTCATCCACTTTCCGGTTATGTTTATCACCACATGGCTGCATTGTTTATACTCACCAATTAGGCTCTCCAAATGGTTGGTGCCACATAATAAGCTGCAGGTGTTTGGTCCAAAGCGGACAGAAGCCTTTTTGAGCTGAGGAGAGAGAGAGAGAGAGAGAGACGGAGAGAAATGCAACAGAAGCTTCTACTGTAACTTTTAATTTTGGCAGAGGAAACTAATGACTTATATTATAGGTGGTACTGTAGATCGTTTCTCTTTTTTGAGAGGGTGTGTATTTAGACAGACATGATTCATTATTTGATGACACCCTAGCAGGCCCTAGCATCACACTTATGACTTACGGCGTTCATCCCACGGTAGGCTATGTCCCTGTCTTGAAGCAGGGAAGGCTATTATGTGTTAGCTGTGCTCAACTACAGTAAACAACACATGTGTTAGCTTATGCGATGTCCACCTCACTACAGGAATACAACATGCAATTATATGGATTATTCGTCATGTCCACCTCACTCTAGATTTATAGCATGACGCTGAGCCTCTTTGAAAACGGTAGGCTATGTCCACCTCACAGCTTCGGAACGGTTTGTAAGAAAAGCATGCCGCATGCCTATATATTTGGCGACCTGGTCGGGTCTGAAACATCACCCATTCGTAATCCAAGCGCTTCCAATATATACTACTGTATTATATTCGTTATATTTACATAATATATATCCCAAAAAAGGGAGATGAAACCGAGGAACCATAGTACCCCACCGAGTGCAGTATGCGGCATACTGGGACCAACACAATACCCAGACACGACGAATGGGACTGGCATATTGACCTACATTGACCCCTGACATCAACCACCCCAATGTAGGTAAATATGACAGTCCCATGGAGTGGTTGGGCATTGATCCCCAAATAGATAGAAGCTGTTTCCAATACAATTTTAGTGGGAACCTACAAGTATACTTTTCTATCTATTGGGGGTCAATATGTTGATCTGAGTGACAAATTGCGACGTGCCACACAAAATTGCCATGTTCCACCAAGGATTCATCACGTCCTGGTGCTCATCGTATGGTTGGTCACCTCAGACTGTTTGAAGAGTCACCGGCTGCATCACCAGGTGCCGGCTTTTGCGACACAGTCCCAGTCACGGCCATTGAGCATTTGACCTGATATGGGTAAGATCACACATGATCACGCCATTTCAAGTCTTCTGCTTTGTTTTGACCATTGGTGTTTGTTCCTGTCTTCAATAGCAGTTTCTCCACACCCCATGACGCTGCCACCCCCACACCACACACGCAACATAGACAGTCAGCTTGTTGGTTGGTTTTCTCAGGTGGCAACTCACCCAGGGAGGTTATGCTCAGGGCCCTGCGACGATCTCCATGTTGCCCGGGCGCCCCAGGAGCGATCCGGTGGCGGGTGGAAAGCCATGGAAGCGGCGGGAAGCGGTCATTGAGTTCCATTGATTTGTAGTGGATGACCAGATCTGAAGATCCACGAATCTACTAGAGAGAGAGAGCGAGTAAATGGGTTTTGACACGAACTTATATAGATTGGGGTCCTCAGGAGTGATCCCCTCTTAACCCACTATAGCGGCATCGGGCTAGGGTATTCTAGGGGCCCACCCCGCCGAGGTCGCAAGAGTGCTGCTGCTGGTGTTGTTGGTGTTGGTGTTGGTGCTGGTGCTGTTGTTGTTGTTGTTGTTGCTGGTGTTGTTGTTGTTGTTGTTGGAACCTCAAAAGAACCCAGAATCTTCCGCACCAGACAGCATCAGTTTCTTTACGCAGAGGCGTCATGTTGATGCGTTGATTCACTCCACTCAACATGAACTGCCTGAAATGTCAACCGAGTTTCTGATCAACGAAACTCCGGCACTACACGGAAGGCCCAATCTTTCCATGCCCAGCGGCTTGATGGGGTTCAATGCATTCATCAGCTGCAGCCATTCCCAGCAGATTTGGGCTCAAAGGCGGGAAGGATTCCCAGGCTGGCCTGCATTCCTCGTGCTTCAGGCGATCGACCGGGCAGAGGGATCTGGATAACACTGGATAAGATCCTCAAATGGATTTCATGGGCTTGGCGGGAGGTCATTCCAAGATCCTAGCTGCCAAGTCAAAGATCTTAGCTGCTGATTACCTCGCTGGAGGTTCTTCGACGCAACCACTGACTATTTCAGCTAAAGTATGTTAATGTACAAACCCTTGATCCAGAAAGCCCCTCCAGACATTGATTGTACCAACCTCTTCTTATAGGGGGCTGATGGATCAAGAGTCTTTGCAGGGAAACCGGCTTGTCAGGACGCTCATTGATGACCCAGTTCCGGCAAGCGGGAGGAACTTCTTCTTTGGAAAAGTAGCCCGAACCTTGGGTTGCGGACCTTTGCAGACCAGATTCTTTTTAGGGTTTTCTCCTTTGTACTACAGGCCCTGGCCAGGAATCGTCCGGTGATCACTGTCAGGAGGCGATGACGTACGCGGAGCTTTTGGAGGAGGTGAAGGAGAAGAAGGTGGCCAAGCTCATCGAGTACGAAGTTTGTAGCTTGGGACGACCGAGGTCCCGGTCTGGGGATGGGGAAGAAGTGAACGGTCCGTGAAACGGACCGATCTGACCGACGGATGTGCGTTGGTCGACTGACTGTTTGAAGTCTGTTTGACTGATTTATAGCATGCTTGAATGACGATTGAAAGGCGAGCCGACGTTCGAGAGGGGGTTGGAGCTGGCGTTCTCGCATGCGCATGCGCCCCTGTGAGCTTTGCCTGAGCTGCGGGGCTGGAGGGTGGATGCCAGATTTCACAACTAAATGTCCGCATCAGATATAGTGGATTGAGAGTAGATGGCAAAATCCCCAAAAGGTGGTTTATATGGATCCCCATCTAAAAGACATATATAGGGGTTTGTGCCATCTACTCTGAAACCACTGTAGAAGAACGATGATTTCATATGATTTCTCACTTGATTGATGTCTCCCAGGATGTGAAGCCAAGCCCAGCCAAGTTGCCACATGCTGCTTCTCAGGATTTGTCAAGGTTTTACGTCTCGTTGTTGCACCTCCCACGAGTGGGGTTGAGGCCCAACTAGAGCCTCCTGTTGCCCATCCTCCTCTAATTCCCCACTCCTCTCTACAGTGGACCGGTGCCCAGGCTAGGAACATGTTGGACGTGGGATGGAAGCATTTGCAAGTCCACTCTGCTGTCTGCTACCGTTCACGAAAGAAATGCGGCACCGCTGACATAAGAACACTCATACGATGGAAATGACATTGTTTTTGTTTATCGGCTCCACTTTTCAATCACATGTTTTTTCCATAAACCTCATGTTACTCTCGTGTTCATTCGATTCTGAAGGCCCAAGTGGCCTCAGGCACTCCCAAGATCGCCAAAGACCTTCTTGAAAAGATCTCCAAGTCTCCCGGCAGAAGCTTCTGACCTTCGCAGTCGGCCGAGGAACTCGGCATCATTAAATCCATTTAGCCTGGTGGTGGGATCTTTATTGTCCCTAGGGATCCAAGTACCTTCTCAGAAGGTCATTGGAGACTATGTGTGTAGGCTTGGAGGGCCCAAGTACCTTCTGAGAAGGTATGTGGATCCCTAGGGTGTGTGTATATCGCTCATTTCTGGTTGATGCATTGCACCACCTACCATCCATCGGAAGCTCCGAACATGGCAAATTGGAGCCTTGTTGAACATGGCTTTAGGAGGACTACACTCCCTGAAGTCATCATGGAAGTGTAGAACCACCTGATTGTGAAGGAAAATAGTTTATCCAACGGGCCATGCCATCCACTTTCATGATGATTTCAGGGACTAGTGTATCATGTAGTATCCCAATGATCCCCTCTGAAAAATGACCCACCGATTTGCTGGAGCAGGCCTGGGATAGAATTATGGATGTTCACTCTGCAAGCATGGCCGCCATGACATGGTGCTGCTCGCAGGTGTGAGGAGGCTGGTGAAGATGCATCTTCAGATGCTTGGCTTCAGATTGCTCAGCCTAAGTAGCTGCGTAGCTAGCTCATGGCTAAGTAAGAAGCAGGCGCGTACTCATTGCTCTAATGATGAATCGACACATGAACAAGGTCAGGCTTTTTTTGGAGCGCCGCCTAATCTTTCGGTAGAGAGTTTCTCGGTGCTGTTGGAGTTTGCTCGCACGGGCATAGACGGCTTGTCATGTGCCTCCAAACGCTCATATTTTGTGTTGCCGGGAGAAGAAAAGGACATTACAGGAGCAAATGAGGCGGAACACACATGTTTTTGAGTACCAAGCTCCTGGTTCATCAGTTTCTCTCCAAGCTTCAAGCTTCTTTGCCGAACTGGGCCCTAATTGGTTGTTTGGCCCAACGTGTGCAACCGGCCGGCCCGCAGGATGCAGCCAAGGAGGTTTTGAAGCTGAAAGATTCGCTGAAGGTCGGCGCTGGGGACAGCGCCAACGCCGAAGAAGCAAACAGCTGCAGTGGTGGTTTTAGGTGTTAGATGCTTCCGTTCAACCTCTTTTAGGATGCATGTCTCCGCTGACTAATATGTGCCACGTGAGTTGCAGCCACCCGCCAGCCAAAATTCCGAATGATTGGTCTATACCTCGGGATGCAGGTGGCTTCTCATGGTTTCTTATGGTCGCATTCAGTGATGAAGGGGCACTATGGTACTAACATGGTGTTTTCATCCAGTGTTTACAGATGTTGTCCTCCAGTTCATGGTTTAAACTACAGTGCATCGTGTGCTACTACCCGCATGGCCGAACCACTGTGCGATTGGTGTGGTAGAAGGTAGATGCCACTTGCAAGATTTGCCAGCGAGAACCCTGAATCTAAAATCCTCCATCTTCGACTTCACCAACAGAAATGCGTCACTTCTATCCATAACCAAAAAGGAGGGCAAACCGCACCATTGTGGTGACCTTGGATCCAGACGTCAAACCAAACAGACCAAACCGCAGGGACCGGACCATCGGACCACGGCAGGCAGCCTCGGACGCGGAGGGCGGCGACTGGACGGAGCCCATCGACGAAGGCCGGGCGGAGCGGAGCGCTGGAGCCTCGGTCGCGGTGCGTTTCGCGGGCGGTGGAAACGAGGTTCTGTGGAAGCTGTGGAAGGAGATGTCGGATTTCCATGCAATTTCCATACCAGGAGTCCAGGAGCGAAAAACACAGCTATATATATACCAGTATAGGAGCTAATTGATCTACTGTAATTGAAGAAGCTGGAAAGACATCAAATAAATTGAGATTCAAAAGGGCCGGTTCATGGGCGTCCTTTTCAAAAGGGGAGTTCTGAAAAGCTGAAAGCTTGGACATGGACATGGCTTCGCCTCTGATCTCCTGCCAGAGTTAACCTCGCTGCACTGGTTCCTCGGTTCCTCCACGGGGTGACCCCCAGGCGCGGTGGAGATTTTTGAGCAGTTGGAGAAGTGGGAATGCAAAATGAAGGAGCATCGGTTTGATCGGGAGGTGGACCATCAGGTTTGTAAACCTGCCGGGAGGTGGACATAATTGGGGTGCCTTTCGGTGTATTGACTAGTGATCTTTCGGAGACAGATGCTCTTTGGAGATGCTCGAGGTGCAGGAGCGATGGAGATCACTTAAGGATTGAAGGGTGTGAAGTTGTTGCATTCCATGAAGAAGATTGGCCTCCACATCGGTGCCTGACACAGATAGATCAAAAAAGGTGCTTAAGTCGGACTTCATGCATCACAACCGTCAACCGTCTTCGGCGGCTTGGACGCCACGCTCTCTAGATCGGGGTGCGCGGCTTGGACCGCTCTGTAGGCGTTTTTTTGGGAGTTCAAAGTCGTCCATTGGAGATGGTCGTTGGAGATGATCGCTTAATTAAAGGACGTCAGTTCTACTGGGCGTCTGATGTGATCTATGATGATCTATGTCCGGGATCTACCTTACTCACAGCGGCATGGTGACTCCTTTAAACCCTCCAAGGAGAGGACCAAAACACACGGTTTTGATATGTGTTGATCATCGAACTCTTCCCAGTGAGGTTTTACATCCAACCCAACTGGGTGATCCAAATTCCCCCCTACAGGTCCAAAGACTCAGTAAAACTTGGTATTCTACCTCCTTCAATCGTGTTTTTTGTATGACAGACTCCAGTTTTCACGAGGTCATTGACCTGTAGGGCTCGACCTTTTCAGGAGAATCAGGAGGTGAGAGTGCACGAGGTCGAAGGCATGATCGAGCCACTCGGCGGTTGGAGCACGCGTGCCGCGGTTGGAGCACCTGTGTCCACAGGGGGGGGCGGGTAGCCTTAAGAAGAACATACATGCATGTTTGAAAGAGTTTCTTTCAGCAACAGATCCTTTTTTCGGATGCTGGGCATTTGTTTAACGCGTCTTGCTTCAACCTACGATCCTTCCGTCTCACAGGATGAGGATATATACTGTACAGTATAGAACCTCGCGTCTCGCGCCTCGCACACAAAAGTGCGTCGACCACGTCTCGCCGAGGTACGTGGAGAAGAAGTGGACGGGTCTTTCAAAGCTGGGCAAGTGACTTGGCCCAAAGTTCGATCGGCCCCCAAGTTCGCTCGTTACGCGCGGGTCGGCGCATCGACTCGGCGCATCCGTTCATAGCAACAAATCGCGGGTCAGCAACCAAATGGCCTTCGATTCCATGTTGAAGTTCAACTGGTCAATCCTTCCAACCATCCTGGATCCCACCACTGGGCCTCCTTGGCAGGCATGCTATGTCATGTTCATGTTTTTGTGGTTCTACACTCCCCGAAATGATCCGTGGTGACTGGTGACATCCCGTGGATGGCATGGACCTGGATGACCAGGTGTTCACTCCACCCATGTGAGTTTTTCCGAGTTCTGTGGAGTTCTATTCTTGTTCTGGGGACGTCCAATCCTCTCAACATCTTCGCTTCGAGCCGGTCCCGACAGTCCAACATCGGGACAGACACCGGTGGCGTGATTTTTTCTCTTCGTCAGACACCGACCTGAAGGTGACCTGCTGAAGGGGTCCTTGGGTGACGTTGATTTGCCCATATTTTCTCTATGGTCCTATTCTATGGGTGGTGAATCTCCTTGGGAATATATTGATATTTTCTCCTGGCTTCCTAAACAGAACATCCGAGAAATTGGTCCATGCGGAATACACCAAGCCTTTGGGAGTGCTTGATTGGGGCGAAACACATTTAAAACTTCTTTGCACTTGGAAGTAAAACTTGGAGGTGATGCATCGGCATTCCAGTGACGCATTTGGATTTGTTTTCATTTTTTTCCGCCTTCTAGCGCGTAGTGTCAAAAGAGAATCCCCGACAAAGGTTCAAGATTATCCGTTAAATATCAAATGCTGAAATGTAGACCCCAATCCCATCCATGCAGATATATATATATATCTTGGCCTCTCTCCAGGTTTACTGCAGCAGTTCTGGAAAAGGCCAAGCCCTTGGTGGAGGCAGTGAAGCAAAAGAACAAGGAACTGGAGCAGGACACAGTTGCAAAACCTGGTTCCGTGTGACTTGTGTGCCAAGATGATCAACATGTGTTACCCAACGAACCACACACACACACACACATGTGCTTTCCTGAAGGGAGAGCAGTGGAGTTGGAAGGGTGGAGTGGTAACACGGTACCTGTGAATGTGGTGAAATCAACCAAGAGAGGTTATATAAGTGACCCTACAGGACCCTACTGGGGTATATATGGGATCTTGTAGGATAGTCTATAGGGTTCAGCAACCTTTTTTGGAAGTAATGACACCCAACAGATCTCATTGAAGATCACGACGTGCTTGCCCGGCACGACTTTGAGTGTGTCAGTTCCAGTTTCTTACAGGAAAGGCGTAGCCACCGGGAAGGAAGCAATCTGACCAGAAAACACTCAGCAAGCAGACCAGTCTGGGCCGCCTGCACAGCCAAATACCCGGCTTCATAAGGCAGAGGTAGACAGCACATTTGTGCTGGGGTGATCTGGGGTGTACTTACTGTCGTGACCCCCGAAGGCCTTCTGTCGTGACCCCCGAAGGCCTTGAACAAAAATCGATCGCTACGTCGCACACTTCTGTACAACACCAACGGTTTTTCAATCTCACATGGTTTAGAATGACTGGGACCACTGTCAATGGCCACATCCCATCAATGAAACAGAGCTTAACCCACAAAACATACCAGCAGGCATGGACACTTGCATTCGGAGCCAATCCTAAACAACATGTCCATCGATAAACTGTTTAGTTCGCAAACCAGACAAAAAATCATGCGCCCATGGTCGCTTCAGAACATCCATCATGTACATCCTCACACATGTGTGCTTTTCACACACAGAGGCCCCCCCGGAGAAAAGACATTGAACCTGTGAAAGAAAAGACTATCTATCTATCTGTATATTTTTTTAATCCGGCGCTTAACAGATCCATTGGTTGGAGGGTCGTAATCTAATGCTGCACAGCACCATTTGGACTGTACAAGGAATTGCCTTCCCGAAGTTGACCTCCGAGCCTTTGCCCGTCCCATTTGCTCGGTGAGGACAAGGAACTGAGGGATGCGGTGTTCATGCAGCTAGTCCTGCAAGTGGCGTCAGCTTAGTCCCGCAGTGGCCCAGTCAGCTTAGTCCCGGATGCGTAAGAAGTCCGTGCATGGTGCGTTCACCATGGTTCACCGTTCCACCGGATCAATTGAGCCACCCGTGGGATCCGGCTCCACGCGCTGCGTCGGTGGACGTTCCAACCCGTGTCGGTACCGATGTGCGTCGTCCGAAGGTCCGAAGGCCAAGCGCTTGGGGATCCGACCTCGACCGGTGGGTCCGATCTTCTTTGGGGGGGGGGTTCATGGTCGTTGACGTCATACCCCAGGGATCCGTTTTCGTACCGAACCTCAGGTACGGTGAGGAAGGAGAGTATTGTAGGCGCCAGGAGGGCCCAGTCGTACCTTTTGAGGTTAAGTATGTGGAATCGGGATAGTCGTACTGAACCTGTCTCAGCACACAGGAGACCGGACCGACCAGCGGCGCCGAAGACGTGGGTTTTGTGAGAAGCAATGTTGGATGAGGTGCCATGGTGGATGAGAGATGGTCACCCCAAAACAATTGAGCTGGCAATGAAAGCGCTGTCGAAACTGTGCATTTCGTCGCGCTAGCCGGTTTCTACCAAGAGGTGGGCCCAGCCTTGTCCCCGTAGACAAGACGTTGATGTGGGAGGCATCTGGATGTGGGAGCAACAGCAACAGCCAAGAAAGGTCACACAATTTAACTGTAGTCGGTTTCCCCAGCGAACGACCCAGTCCGGCCACTAGGATGGATTTGGTCAATGGTGTGGTGACCACCTATGTCTCTTGGCTGCAATGAGGCGGGCTAAGGAGGCGTCCCTTAAGAAGGTGCCCCCGCATATTGCACACATCATTGCACGTCATTGCACACACACACACACACAATCCGACTCACTCTCTTGAACCGGCCGGCTGGCTTCAGTGATTGGAATTTTGAGGATGTGCACCAAAGAAGATGAACGCCATGTATCCTTCCAGTCGGGTCATCAGGAGTTGGCTCATCCCCACTTCACAGGGAATCGCTGGGTTTCATCGAGTGAATCGCTGGTGGTGTAGATTTCTGTGACAAGGTCCATACCAAGTACCTTCTCAGGTACGGTGATTGGAGACACATGTCTGATCTGGTATGTGGGTTTCGAGGGTCAAGTCGTACCCAACCTGAGGTTCGGTACGACTGGATTACTATAGGGATAGGCAGTGCCAGCACCTCTTGTCTCCGATGTGCGGATGGGCCCGAGGGGCGGCTAAAGACCGCGGTTTTCCTGGTGGATGCCAACCGTTCGAAGGTTTTGGAGAGAACCAGTTTGTTGTTGTTGTTGTTGTTGTTGGGCCATGTTGTTTATCAAGTTGTTTGCTAAGAATCTTTTCAATATATTAGTGACTCACGTTTTCAAGATAACACATCATATCGTTAAGGAAAAACATATTGTCCGGTGTCTCTCATTGTTTGTTTTGTGAGCGTGGCTCAGCCAAAGTGCCAGGCACGACCTCACTGGCTCAGGCACGACTCGTCCCTGGATATGTTTATTCAACATGTCTCCAGTCTCCATGCAGGATACCCGGACACCCAGTTCGACCCTTTGATGTGTTCGATGTGTCGCGTGTCGTTCACAGACCGCCCAACAGGCGCTTGGAAGCATCCCGAAATGGCCATGGCCATCGCCACTCGAGCCTTCCGAGCGCCCACCGCACGTTCTTCACCCGTTGGACGAGGGCGTTGATCAGTTTTAATCCGAGGCGTTGATCGGCTTCACCATTCCGGAATTCGTCATCCAGGCAGCCGGTGGAATTCGGGCGGATGTGTGGATGTGTGTCGAATCACCCCAACCCTGAGCGGACGAGAACAACCCACCAACCTCAAGTGATTCATGTATCGATGTATGTCGAAGGGTTGGAAGATTGGGGTTCCGCTCAGAGCTGGAGAGAAGCCGCTCGGCCGCGCGGACACGTTTACCGTGTGTTGTTCTCGATTTCGTGGGGGGCCATGCACAGCCATAAAAGTTAGGCAAGTCTTGTATCTGCGTGGTCTTCCCAAATTACTCAGACTTCCAGTATCCCTACTACCCGGGTTTGGAGGGTAGTTACGGCTAAAGGGTTTTAAACTTACCACGCAACGGACAAGACTGCTGCCTCAAGAGGCCTTTCCTGCTGCTGTGATCCCGACCATCTCCCGCTCGGCTCGCTGGGGGTCGAGCCCGCCCGCGCCTGTCGGGTGACCGTCGACCCAGGGCAGCGACGAGGTGGAGGTTCAATTGGAAAAGCGCATCCCACGTTGGGAAGCCGGGCGTGACATCGACAAGGCGGGGGGAAGACGTGAGGGAGTGGGTTCTGTGTGAGGGTGAGGCGGAGATAAGACGTGAGTGCGGACGGGACGGCCGTGACGGGGGGGGTCCGAAGAGAAGAGAGACATTGGTGGGTGGGGGGATCAAGATCAGGGTCCCCAAAGATTCGAATTTATATATATATATATAGACAGCAACCGTTCCAAAGGATTCCGAAGGGACTAGACACCACCCCTTTGTGACTCCTGGCAGTTGTTTTTCATGCGGCATTTCAAGTTGGGGTGGTTTGGTTCGACGAAACAGCGAGTGGATGAGTGTGGCACTCGCTTTTCCAACCATCATCGCCTCAGCCATTCAAACAAGCACTAGTCACTACCTGGTACCTCTGAAGAGTGATAATTATCACTCCGTTGTGTAATTGTCAATCTTTTGGATAGTGGTGTGACAAAAAGCATTCCGGAGTGGAAAAAATCAGTCCAACCACAATTGCGTTCAGATTGCCTTCGCAGAGCGTTCACTTTGCGTTCAATCAACGTTCGCTTTGTGTTCAAGAGACGTTGCGGAGCAACAAAAACCATTCTGGAGCAACTATTCTCACTCCGGAGTGCTTTTTGTCACACCAGTGTCCAAAAGATTGATAATCACAAAACGGAGTGATAATTATCACTCTTCAGGGGTACCAGGTAGCTTGTGTAAGCTAGAAGTACCCTCCAGAGTCAAGTTTTCAAGTTTTCTGTCGTTCTCAGGTGTAGTTCTGTGTAGTTCTCGTACAGTTCCCATTTGCCACGAGAGTTCACCTTTGGGTGTCAACACATGGGTCCGAACTCGTGGCCGTGCCAACTCGTTCTGGTCGAGTCCGCTGACTCGGTCGAGCAGGAGTCGGAGCTGGGGAAGAAGATCCAGGCGCAGATCGAGAAGCTGCAAGAGGCCATGCCACAGATTCAGTTGATTTGTGCCTCGCCCATGGCCCGCGGGGTTGGTTTTTTTCCACGCACCATCGCTAGCTATAGTGGGATTAGTGGGGTGGTCAGGACCAGAGAAAGGAGGGAACTGTGCGGAACCCTCCTGCGCACGTCGATTTCACCTGGAAAAGACGGACCAAGGCTTTGGAACTGACGCCTGCAGGCATGACTAAATCAATTGCCTTTATGCCTTTGGTGGACGTGGTCAGTGTTCGCAAGAACTAGAGGGTGGGTTCGGTTCTCGGTGTAGGGGTTGGGCCGTTGGGCCCCGTTGGGCCCCGTTGGGCCCCGTTGGGCCCCGTTGGGCCTTCTCAGCCTGGTTCTTCAAAGTGACCGAACTTGATAACCTGGTTGGTTCGGTCACTTAAGCCTCCAACAGGGTCACGAATAGGAACCTTCAAAAGGTCACTTTGAAGAAGCTGGAGGATGTCTCAGTCTTTAACTTCTTAATTCTAAATAGTAACTACCTGGACCATCCTGTCGGGGTGCCACTGGAAGCCTAGTGGAGTAGTGTGGGGTAGCCCAGCCACACCCCGACAGGATGGTCCTGGTAGTATTTATTACCAGCCTGGTTCATCAAATTGACCTTTGGTTTGGGGATGCCACAGGGTTAGAATTAGGCCTGGTACTGGAGAAGGCCACGGGCTCCAAAAAGGTCTGGAAAAAGGAGAGGCTTCTCGCCCAGTCGGTGTTTGGGTTCTGGTCGGCCAGCTTGGCCAATCAATCCACGCCCAGACTCGTGCAATCCCGAACAGAACTCGCCTTGGCTTCGTGTGAGTTCCGCTCGTCCCGGTCCATGGAAGCCATGGCCCTCAAAGGGCTGACCAATGTGCTTGACAAACAGGTGGTGCTGCTCCACCAACCCTCGTTGGTACCAGAGAGTTCATGGATCTTTTGTGTGGTAGTTTGTTGGGGGGGGTTCAGAGAACCCAGTTGAGAGGCTGCCTTGAATACACACCATCTTTTGGGTAGTTTGATTTCCCACCTAAAATCTCCACATAGATCATAGTCATCATAGACTACCACAATGAGTTACAGGGGTTGGGTAGTCATTGTCATGTAATTACTTGAAGTATATACATAACATTACATAACTATATATGTACCAGCACCACCCAGTTCGGGTGGTTTATAGACCCCCCTGAAGATGTATTTTCCATCTAATAACCACCCTTTTGGTGGTGCTGGTATATATATATATATAGCGTTGGAGAGTCGATCCTGTAATGAGCATCACATGTACAACAAGTGTTGCATCCTGCAGTTACGGTAAGTTCTGGAATCCACGACCTAGATGGTTCAGAGTCTTTTGGAGAATAGGAGAATGGGAAATGACATCCCCGAATGACCTAGCAATCCCTGGATTGAATTCCATCAGCCCAATTTATTCTCCGGTTCGCGGCCAGTTATTTCCTGAGGCAAGGAGAATCCCAAGTTTAGCTTCGAAGATCAAAGAGCGCCCCAGAGGCACTAGTGAGAGGAAGCTGCTTTTGGAGGGCGAGTGGTGGGGCCCCAAGAAAAATTACATTCAAAACGGTCCAAAACCCTTTGGAAACAGACGAACAACTGGAAAACCGGATCAAGATACACGGGCTTTGGAACTTGCCTCGTGAATGCCCTTGGTCGAGACTCACGTTATTTTCTTTGCTTTTTCTTATTTTGGTTCTCCTCCTGGGAAATGGGTTGTGTCGGACTCTGTGAAGCAGCAAAATGGATCCTTTGTTCGCTTGGTGCTTGGCGCAGAGAAACCTTGCAGGATAGGAGCCATGCTGAGCCACGCCACAAGACTTTTCGCTGAAGTTTGCTGCAGCCTATATAACTACCATTTTCATGATTTTTTGGCACTGGATCGTCAATTGAGCAGTTGAGAGTAATCCATAGGTACTGTCGGTACTGTGCTATATTGGTTAAGGAAGAGTGATGTAGAGTCGTCAAAACACGCCAGGGCAACATTTGAAACGTGTTGATAAGATAAAACTCTTTGAACTAATCATGGACGTGGAAACTGGTCTCTTGGATGCCTTGGACAACAATTTTCCTTTGTATGCAAGCATGTGATTTTCCAGTTCCATGTTAGTGAGAGTAATTTGTCTACATATTCACCTGGTAAATCACCTGCGACCGGCCTTGAGGGAATGGATTCATCTCCTGCAATTGATTGAACATGGTGCAGTTTGATCAAGGATGGTACTGTTTACCAGGTGAATATGGCCCACATTCTTCTAATGCTAGTGTGCTTTGAGTCAACTGTTTAGATCAACATATTGATGATGATTTGTTTCCTGGTTTGGTTGTTGCACAACCCACCGACCCTGTGTTGATGGCCTTTTCAGTGGGAGAAGGGCCTGAACCCCAATTCATTGTTTGCTCGGTTTGGGAAAACCATCCAACGTGGTAACCCTTGAGCTCACTACAGCGCAGTTACCCGATGCAGACTGACATGAAGTCAAACACTCGACGACGGATTTGTATCTGAGCCGGTAAAGCTCTTCAGTCGGGCGTCGAGGAATGCAAGGAGACCATCAACATGAAAGCCACCCTTTTCGCTGGTGCTGCGTGTGACTCGGATTTTGGAAGATTTTGAGTGGATTGCGTGGCGAAGTGTGGGGAGCTACAGGGTCAAGGTCGTGGAACTGCAACGAGTCCTGTTAAGGCTTTAAGACCCTTGTAAAGAGTCAATGACGGTGCTGAGACTCGCAAATGCCATCAGGATTTACAGCAGGGGTGCTCAGTGTTGAGACATAAGGATTGTGCTCACTCCAGTTGGAGGGCAGCATGTATTCAGATATCGACCACGCATGGCCATGCAAGGGTCCGTGTGTTTTCTCCTTCATCGAACGTGGGAGTGTGTAAAGAGGGTGGCCTCCAGCTCCGTGGCAGCTGTGGAGGTTCTAAAGCTTGTGGGAAACCTGGGAAACCCACAACAAAATTCCACTTGACTCATCCATCATCCAGAGCTCCTCGCTTGGCCTAGCATGCAAGAAGCCTGCTATCATTAACTGTCAACTGTTAGCCAAAGTCTGGTGTAAGTGCGCAAGGGAAATGGCCCTCGCTGACCACATTAATATTTGGAGTCGGACAGCTGTGAGTCACGAATTCCAATGGACCTCCTCAAGTCGGAGGATGTCTTAGGGTGTCCTGATCCCCATTGTGTTGCCATTCTACGCGTGTCCCGGTCCCACCTGCAAATCCCAGAGCTCGCCTCAGTGAAAAGCACACACGTCGTTGATCTGATTCCCTCATCAGGAGATCCATCATGGTCGCCACCGCCTGCCGCCCCCCAAACCACCTTCACCACGGGTCCGCGGCCGCCTTCAAACGCCGTACCCTTCACGCTTGGCCAGGCGCCATCAAGGGCAACACGGAGGAGTTGGCGCTTCTTGGCTGGATGCCGTTCGCCCTTTCCGGGGGCCCAGGGCCCTGCGTCCCTTCCTCCCTTTCGTGTCCCATCCTCGGACGCCGCAGCTTTCGTGTTTCGCCCGGACGCGCGAGGTTCGATGTTTGAGGGCTCAGACCTCGCAGGGGGGACGAGTTGGGGTGGTGAACATCCGCTGACAGATGACGAGTGTGAATGGCAGTCATTTATAGTGCGCGGATCTCGAACATGGACGAAGATGGCATTGGTGCTCATCTACGAAGATCTTTGAGCCGATAGGTGCTACAAGACGAGGTACACCTCCCTTCGCTTGGACATCTCCTCATGATACCCATCATTTGTGGCAGGGCTTGCCAAGACCCAAGACCCACGTCTGGGAAGGACGCAGTCTTTTTTCAGCACTGTGACGTGCAGGAGGGTGCGCCTCCTATCACATACAGAGTCATCTAAAGACATAAGAAGGAAGCAATATATTTTACTTAGTTACTGTTGATACTATACGAGGCACTCCGGAGTTGGTGTCGATCAACGCCAAGTCGTCTCCATTTTCACCCCAAATCTGTCCAAAACGGTGGCCGATGGAAGACGCTGACTTGACGTTGCAAGGCGTTGGTGCCGACCCGTTGAAGGCCTTCGGTGGAGTGATGGCCGCAGGTCAGGTCATTCCAGGTGCCCGGTCACCGCGACAAGCAGGGTTTTCCCACCATTTGTCCTGGTTTTTGGGGTATATAAGCTTTTATTTGACTGTCACGTTGAAGCAGGACATATCCAATCCCGATGCTTTAAAATGCACTCCTTGTGTTATTTTGTTACAGTCACACGGTCCCTGTGGGCCAAGGAAGATGATTGCCAAGGCGGAGGAGGAGTTCAAGAAGGGCGAAGCCTCGTTCTTCGACACGGAGGCCGTTCGAAACGCCAGGGCTGGAAGCTCTTGGAGTTCAAGCACCCCATGGCGGCCATGGCGCCCCAAGATAGGGTGTTTGGCCCGGATGATCGAATTTGGGTGTTTTTGTCAGTTCAGATCGATTTATTTGGCCCCTTTGCTATCCCATGGTAACATTCTTTGGACACTGTGGGATCGGTCTTCACCAGGTTCTGGGCTTGGGTCTGTCCTCCTTAAGTCGCGTGTCGCTTCGCTGGGCATGCGCACAAAGTGAGCAGCGAAGACCGCAGATGGAAAACGACAAGCTTCGTTGTTGTTTTGGCCTAACTTGCGCAGGCGAAGAAGAAGATTTTGACAAAAGCACAGTACGACAGTGCCTTGGAGAAGCTCAAGGAGAAGGCTCAGGAGCCAAACAAGTTGTCGAAGCCGAGCCGGGAGTACAAGATGGGAGTGTGGGAGTAAATAGTACTGATTTAAGTTTAAGCTCAGGTTACACTCATTTCTTGAGCCTGAAATTGGCCTAAAGACCCCTTGTGGGCTTTGGACGCTGGGTTTCCATTCTTGTCAGCTAGTTGGCCCGTTCTCTCCCTGGAGACTCGAGAGGATTGCTGGACATTCTTGCGAGAGGATTCCCACACCGCCGCCTTTCCCCGAAAGTCCTTTGTTTTCGATGTTCCTTTCACACCACCGCCGCGGCGCGCTCTGAACACCGCTCGGTCATCCACTTACATCGAGGCCGGGAAGGTCACCAGGCATGCCACAGGAGTGGCACGGCCTCCATGTCTCTGACTGAGTTATTGACCTGATCGCAATTGGTTTCATCGTGAAACCATTCAATCAAAAACAGGAGTGGCAGCTCAGGAGTGTCTCGCAAATGGTTCGGAGCTGGTGATGTTCGAATGTCCAGTGCCATGATTGCGATATATACTTTGTTATAGATTGCCACAAGGAACCAGGGTTCCTGTAGGGCCTACGTCCTTGCAAGATCTTGCACATGTATCGAAGCCAGAGAAAGTGGGGGTCATGGCTGGCCATGTTTGTGCTGTTTTGGCAATGCCCTGCGGAGAATGGCCGTTGAGGAGCTTGAGAAGAAGGCCAAAGAAGAAACCAAGCATCTTGGTGAGTCTTAGAACATCGAGCCAGTGGATGCATGACCTTTTGGCTGGGTCTTCTTAGCTGGAATATGCAGGGCCACTGTTGCTCTCATACAATTTGGGTGTTGTGCTCTGAATGTCGGGCAAAGGTACCCTGGTACAGAGCACCCTTGAAAACGGAGCACAGGGTTTGGCTGGACAAAAGGCATAAACTACAGCCAATTGCTAGGCTTGGGTTGACTTTGTACAACCTCCTCCCAGGGCTTTGTAGAACCTCCTCTCAGGACAGAAGAGACCAAACCTGCTGCAGAGTGACTTGGCCCATTCTCCAAACTTCGGTGTCAACGAGACAGGGGAGACGCGTTCGACGACACTGTAAGACACGTCGTCATAAGGCGGTTGGACTTCACCCGAGGAAGGTGTTTTGTCATCCCACGATCGACAGTTTAGGGTGTGTCCCATTGCCAGTCACAGTCGGTGAAACATTATCACTACAACCTTAACCATGATCAGACTCTCTTTCTGGAACTAACATGGAAGTGGAAAACCACCTGTTTGTAGTGGAAAATGGTCTTCCAAGGGTTCTCCACTTCCATGTCAGTTCCAGGGAGTGTAATAGTTATATACCCTTAACATGCCTTAACAATCATCATAAGCATATTGCAATAGGAATCATAGGAATTATTACGTATATATAACAATAAAGTTCCTCCTCCTCCTCCTCGTCCTCATCCTCATCATCATCCTCGTCGTCATCATCATCCTCGTCATCATCATCATCATCATCATCATCATCATCATCATCATCATCATC